GTGTTAAACAAATCATAATATATTTTATTTTTGAGATTCTTCAAATAGCCACCCTTTGCCTTGATGACAGCTTTGCACACTCTTGGCATTCTCTCAGCCAGCTTCACCTGGAATGCGTTTCCAACAGTCTTGAAGGAGTTCCCACATATGCTGAGCACTTGTTGGCTGCTTTTCCTTCACTCTGCCGTCCGACTCATCCCAAACCATCTCAATTGGTCTGAGGTCGGGGGATTGTGGAGGCCAGGTCATCTGATGCAGCACTCCATCACTCTCCTTCTTGGTAAAATAACCCTTACACAGCCTGGAGGTGTGTTGGGTCATTGTCCTGTTGAAAAACAAATGATAGTCCCACTAAGCCCAAACCAGATGGGATGGCGTATCGCTGCAGAATGCTGTGGTAGCCATGCTGGTTAAGTGTGTCTTGAATTCTAAATAAATCACAGACAGTGTCAACAGAAAAGCACCCCCACACCATAACACCTCCTCCTCCATGCTTTACGGTGGGAACTACACATGCAGAGATCATCAAATATAAAAAGAAAGAAAAACCCTTGAAAGAGTAGGTGTGTCCAAACGTTTGACTGGTAGTGTATATACTGAACAAAAATGTCAACTTAACCTGTAAAGTGTTGGGTCCATTTTTCATAAGCTGATAAAAAAGATCCCAGAAATTGTCCATACGCACACAAAAAATTGGTGCACAAATTTCTTTACATCCCTGTTAGTGAGCATTTCTCCTTTGCCAAGATAATCCATCCACCTGACAGTTTTGGCATATCAAGAAGCTGATTAAACAGCATAATCATTACACAGGTGCACCTTGTGCTGGGGACAATAAAAGGCCACTCTAAAATGTGCAGTTTTGTCACACAACACAATGCCACAGATGTCTCAAGTTTTGAGGGCGCGTGCAATTGCCATGCTGACTGCAGGAATCTCCAACAGAGCTGTTGCCAGAGATTTGAATGTTCATTTCTCTACCATAAGTCGTTTTAGAGAATTTGGCAGTACATACAACCGGCCTCACAACCGCAGGCCACGTGTAACCACACCAGCCCAGGACCTCCACATCCGGCTTCTTCACTTACGGGATCATCTGAGGAAGGGGAGGCGGGGTGCTGAGGAGTATTTTTGTCTGTAATAAAGCCCTTTTGTGGGGAAAAACTCATTCTGATTGGCTGGACCTGGCTCCCCAGTGGGTGGGCCTTGCTCCCAAGTGGGTGGCGCTATGCCCAGTCATGTGAAATCCATTGATTAGGGCCTAATTTATTTATTTAAATTGACTGATGACCTTCTATGATCTGTAACTCAGTAAAATCATAGAAATTGTTGCATGTTGCGTTTTTGTTCAGTATACATGCGAGTTGACTATATTTTCAGATTTCTGAACCACTATGAGATAACACATTTATTCGGGTTGGTGTTCCCATCTTAAAAGGTATGGGGGTAGGAGCAGTGGGAATAATAATATGTGAAATAAGCTAATTAAGTATGCAGGATAATGAGTGTGTTGCTTCACAAGCACACTAATAATAAAAAGAAAATGAAGCATGCCAAATAACATAACAACCACACTAATGACCCTATGACATTGCTGTTTATGCTGTGTACATTGTGAGATATAGACTTGATATTAATTGATAGATATTTATGATGTTTAGAATGTGTAATATCATGTATAATGAGATGTAAAGAATGACTAGTCAGGATCGAGGGAAAGATGAAAGATAAACGGAGCAAAGTACAGAAAGCTCCATGATGAAAACCTGCTCCAGAGTGCTCAGGACCTCAGACTGGGGCGAAGGTTCACCTTCCAACAGGACAACGACCCTAAGCACACAGCCAAGACAACACAGGACTGGCTTCGGGACAAGTCTCTGAATGTCCTTGAGTGGCCCAGCCAGAGCCCGGACTTGTACCCGATCTAACATCTCTGGAGAGACCTGAAAATAGCTGTGCAGCAACGCTCCCCATCCAACCTGACAGAGCTTGAGAGGATCTGCTGAGAAGAATGAGAGAAACTCCCCAAATACAGATGTGCCAATCTTGTAGCGTCATACCCAAGAAGACGCGAGGCTGTAATCGCTGCCAAAGGTGCTTCAAAAAAGTACTGAGTAAAGGGTCTGAATACTTATGTAAATGTGACAATTCAGTTGTTTATTTGTAATAAATTTGCAAACATTTCTAAAAACCTGTTTTTGCTTTGTAATTATGGGGTATTGTGTTTAGATTGATGAAGAAAAACAACAATTTAATCAATTTTAGAATAAGGCTGTAACATAACAAAATGTGGAAAAAGTCAAGGGGTCAGAATACTTTCCGCATGCACTGTATATTATCATATATTTTACAATGTATGGCATGTTTATATATGGGTTTTAAATATATTATCATATATTTTTTAATATATGTCACGTTCTTCGATATGTACGGCCATATATGGCCATATATTACTTTTCTATATGGGGGGCTAAGGTGTGAATGCGCCTGACAGTGAGTGACCTGAAGTTTCAGCTAGAGCACTGAGAAGTCCCCCTCAGTCTGGCCCCATGTCAGGGTAGGTTCGCGTCCCAAGGCATTTGGACTTTTTTCCCGGCGTTTTGGGGGGCAGGCCTCTGAGGTGGAAACACAAAAAGGCAACATTTCTGGGCCAAACACTGCAGTTAAGTCTGATAGTGGAAATTCATGAGAGGATAAAGTGCTGTGAGTTGGTGCTTGCAGGCTTTATGCATTTCACCTGGGCAGATACCCATCACCATATGCCTCTGCCCATCAGCGCACAGATAATGATCTCTGTAGGTGTCCTATTATCCATCTAGAATTTCAGAGGAACGGGCTCACTCATATTTCACAATGACCATAATGACATAACGTAATAATGTATTCTGTCATGTTGCATTCTTCTGATACATTTTTAAGCTTATTCAATTAGTCTCAGGTTTTCCTTCATAGTCATTTCTTTAGTCAGTTTCCAGCCATGGCAACAGCATCTCTCTTCTTCTATGTGGTTCTCTCCAAGCCCAACAGTTCGTTTTCTTTTCAATAAGTTGTTTCTTGTTTTTTTCAGTCTTAGTAATGCTTTTTGAGTGGTCTTGTTATTTCAACAGGGGCTTTCAGCATATGACGATAGATATCACCTTTAGACAATGGTGTGTCTCAGACAGTGTCAACTACTGCTAATAGAATAGGAGAATCGGAACGCTCTATTCCATCACATAATACAATAGAACAGAAAACAAAGTCAGAACATTGGGATCTAACTCCAAACCGCAGCATAGCAGCTATTGTCCAGAAGAAATGCCACATCAACAGCCACTGTTGTCACATCAGAGCAATGCAAACCTACTGGCTGAAGTATGCCTATCTCTTTGTCAGTACCTACGCAGTGGTCAGGCAGTGTGCTGGCCGTTCTGCCAATTCTCATCCTCATTGTTTCTCTCTATCCATCTTAAACGTTTCCTCCTACAGTGTATGACTAATTGTCTGTGTCTGACATGGCACCAGACCATATACAGTATAGTGCACTTTTGACCAGAGCCCTATGGTAGTGCACTAGGGAGTGCCATGTCAGACGCGGCCCTTGTCAATATTGTGTTCCTTCCTGTCTTGGAAGCAGCAAACACACACAGTACCACATTAAATCATTATTAAATTTACAGAAGCAAAACCATTGTAAAAGGCCATCGATACTGATTATCCCTGTTCATATTGGTCACAATTCAGACAAAGCACTCTTTCAATAAAATGTGACTTTTTATATGAGCTAAAGGGAGTGTAGAAAAGGTCAGCAAATATGTAAAGGTTTTACCTTTGTATTTGCACATCAATTGACTCCATTTCTCTTTTCCTTCTACCTATGAAGCGTTGCTCATGCAACTCAGAAATAACAGCAATCGGTTTGGCGTAGACCTCTGTGGTTCCTGTATTGAGCACACAGATGTACCAGTAAACATGAATGCAAATAGATGTCACATTGTCACGTTCAGGTTTTGGATGAATCCTCTCCTCAGTATTCTGGTTGTATTCCCTGTCTACTGCTCAGCACAGGAGAGACTAAAGGTAGCAGCAGGATAAACTAGGTAATCCGTGACGCAGGTATTAAAGGATTCACTATTTATAACCCAAAGTTTAAAGCCAAGTGCAGTTGGACAGAGTGTGAAATGTTTAGCACAGGAAGAGATACCTTTGAATTTAATTTGTATACCATATATTTATAGTGTCATACATACACAGTAGCCTATTCCTCAGTCATGAGGTGACTTTTACTCTGATAATCTTAAATAGAGCTAACACTGAGACTCACATCAGTGTCAGGCCGGAAAGGGGTTATGTCATTCATTTAATGATCAGCGATCCACTCACCTATCTCCATTTGGATTGGGTCCTTGCTATCCAGGATTCTTGGGACATCCCAACTCTGATTTACCCCATTGAGGTTGAGGTGTGTAAGGGTTAAGATTAGGATTATGGTTATGATTATGGTTTAGTTCAAATTACATTTTACTTAAGTGCTTCATTGCAAAACACATGTATTTCATGCTCTGTTTTAACACACAAATGTTTTTTGTGGACCCTATTAAAGATGTAGATAAAGGAACGCACTCTAGTCCAGGTCATATTGAAAGTATGAACAATTTTTCTGATGTGGTAAACTGTAGCTTCTTTTTATTTTATTTTATATTTTTCTTTACATTTTATAGCACTCATGACCTCTAGTGGCTAACATTATAAGTACCGTTTTCGTCCACGAGCAATTGCTCATTTACGTTCCTGAACTATTTTGATACGACAAGGGGCTTAATAGCAAACACGTGACACTTTGCATAATTAAGTGGAGTGATAGTGAAAAACAACAAACCTCTGGTAAATCCAGCGACGATTTGGTTAGCTACACAGGTGTGCGCGGGATTAAATTAATTAATGATACACATGGTAATCTATCTTAAAAGTGCCTCATTGTAATGTAAATGGTTTGTGTTATCTACTGTAAAATATCGGATATGACCACACATGTAAAATACATCGCCATGAAAAGCTTTGAAGTTAGTGCTGCGGTGATGAGGGTCCCTGAGCGTGAGTTGATGGGTAACATTTTGGTGCGTGAAACAGGTGAGCCCTTGCTCCCAAGTCACTCCAACATAGCTAAATTCAAACGAGGGAACGATGGCCTTTATGTTCACACAGAGGACTGGAATGAAATTGTGAAAAGAAGACAATTGGTAAACGCCAAGGAACGAATGAGAGTAAGTGTAGCTGTAGGCACAGGCGCCATATCAACAAAAAACTGGCAAAAGGTCTGACATGGAAATTGACCCAAAATACTTCAGCTCTGTCACGTGGAAGTAGGCCTATAGTACAAAAAAATCATCACTTTGATTTGTTCAATTTGTATGTGCTCTGACTTGTGTAATTTGCTTTATTAGATCAAAAACATGAACAGCATGTTCTCCCGTTTGAAGCGCATGGTGCCACTGATGCGTCGTGACCGCAAACCCAGTAAAGTGGATACGCTGAAGGCTGCCACAGAATACATCAAGCTACTGGTGGCTGTACTGCAGGACTCTGACAGTGTAAGTGTAAAACAATAGGTTTAATATAATGGTGTTGTTGTTCAGACTAGCGGTACATGCCTCATACCAGCAATACTAGGAATAGGCCTATTTCTTCCACCAAACATTCGCCACAACATTTCAGGCCTAATTGCATTGCTCTAGTGACTCAATATATTAACATGTAATTTTTATGTTTGGTAGAATAATGGGAGCAAGACAGATTTCTTGAAGAATGCAATCAACTATGCAACTTCTGATGGGATGTGTGGTGATCTGTGGAGGGTGGATGAGGTAATTACTTTGTGCATTCATAGCTGCTTGTGTTTACATGTGAAGAGCTATTGTATTAGTGTACAGTTTGCCCCCTATGGGGTTTTAAAACAATCCATCAACAACCACTATGCTAACCTCACAACCGTCCGGAAGTCTCGCAAGTTTACATTCTGTTTTGCTGCACAGCGGTAATCAGTTTGGTAATACGAGGCTTGCTACCAAATGCAGGTCAGTGGTCACAATTCATGGCCTTGTAGACCACCTGAGTGTGCAGGTTTTTGTTCCAGTCCAGCACTACCCACCTGTTTCCACTTATCACGGTCTTGGTCAGATTAGTTGAATCAGGTATGGTAGATCTATTAGTTGGCACAAAACCCTACACAGTGACCACCACCACTACTTTAGAATTAGATGAAAAAGTTACAGTAGTTATTGAACTTCTCTGTATCTCACCCTCTCTTCTCCCACAGCTGCTGGACAGTGTGTCAGGAGTGTCCGGTAGTGAGTTGTCCGACGGGGTGACTATGACTGTTCCCTTGGTGACCACAGGGTTTGGAGCAGGAGATGGAGACATGAGTGGGCTGGTGCTGCACCACTGTGTGATGCCCACCTACCAGTACATCATCCAGGTGGCACCAGATCAGACTATGGTACTGAATGCGACACACCAAGACGGCGTCCCAAATGGCACCCGTATTTTGTGTTTATACCACTACTTTAACCTTAGTGAGCTCTATGGGCCCTGGTCAAAAGTAGTTAACTGAAAAGGGTGCCATTTGGAATGCAGACAATGTCTTTGACTAACTGTGAAGAGTTGTCCATCACAAGGCCTAAAATAATATCTGACAATGAATTTATTGAAAACGAATTTAATTGTAAAACTATGCAGAGTAGGTAAAACCATAACAGGAGGCTACCACAGTAGCCAACAAACACACAATAAAAAATGGAACTGGATGCTTATCAAGGCAACTATACTGAACAAAAATATAAACGCAACATGCAACAATTTCAACGATTTTACTGAGTTACAGTTCATATAAGGAAATCAGTCCCCCCCCCCCACAAAAGGGCTTTATTACAGACATAAATAGTCCTCAGTTTCAACAGCTGGTAAAGAAGCCGGATGTGGGGGTCGTGGGCTGGCGTGGTTACACGAGGTCTGCGGTTGTGAGGCCGGTTGGACGTACTGGCAAATTCTCTAAAACGACGTTGGAAGCAGCTTATGTTAGAGAAATGAACATTCAATTCTCTGGCAACAGCTCTGGTGGACATTCCTGCAGTCAGCATGCCAATTGCACGCTCCCTCAACCTGAGACATCTCTGGCATTGTGTTGTGTGACAAAACTCTACATTTTAGAGTGGCCTTTTATTGTCCCCAGCACAAGTTGCACCTGTGTAATGATCATGCCGTTTAATCAGCTTCTTGATATGCCACACCTGTCAGGTGGATGGATGATCTTGGCAAAGGAGAAATGCTCACTAACAGGGATGTAAACAAATTTGTGCAAAAAAATGGAGAGAAATAAGCTTTTGTGCATATGGAAAATTTCTGGGATCTTTTATTTCAGCTCATAAAACCTGGGACCAACACTTTACATGTTGCGTTTATATTTTTGTTCAGTATAGATGCTAAGGTGTACAATTACCAATTTGCAAATCAGTGCAGACAATAGATTTGCTGAATGGAAATGGGAAGTGGGATACAAAGACACTTGCACAATACATTCCCATGCTCATCTCCACTGAACACATTCTCTGAATCTCTTGTCAAGGTGAAGGGGTCATCGCGTTCTTTGTATTTCTCTGTTCCTTGCTCTCCCTTTATCTCAGTTTCAGTAATCTATGTAGCTAACTCTAGCTCTCCTGTTCAATACTCAGTATTCTACCCACCAGGCTTTAACCTCATGTAACCTGTGATATTCTCTCAGGTCTCGACTGTGCTAGCAGGTAGCCCTGTATATAACCGGGGATATCGATCGTGTAGTCCCCTGCTCAGACGTTGCATGCATCAACCGATGGTTGCGTGCCACGTTATAGTCTGTGCCGTCGGGCACCAGGTTGCTATAGCATATGTGGTTAGCTGATAGGTAAAATACATATACAGGCATTGTAAGATCTGGCATGCATCAGCAACATCTGAGCAAAGGAACACGACCATACTCTCCGGTCTAGACTATGCTAGCAGGCAGCCCCATATAGACTGAGTATACAAAACATTAAGAACACCTGCTCTTTCCATGAGACTTACCAGGTGAATACAGGTGAAAGCTATGATCCCTTATTGATGTCACTTGTTAAATCCACTTCAATCTGTGTAGATGAAGGGGAGGAGACAGGTTAAATGTTTTTTTGTTTTTTTTGCCTTGAGACGCAGATTGTGTATGTGTGTCGTTCAGAGGGCAAGACAAAATATTTAAGTTCCTTTGAACGGGATATGGTAGTAGGTGCCAGGCGCACCGTTTTGTGTCAAGAACTGCAACGCTGCTGGGTTTTTCACGCTCAACAGTTTCCCGTGTGTATCAAGAATGATCCACCACCCAAAGGACATTCAGCCAACTTGACACAACTGTGGGAAGAATTGGAGTCAACATGGGCCAGCATCCCTGTGGAACGCTTTTGTGCAACTCAATATTAGGAACGTGTTCCTAATGTTTGGTATACTCGGTGTATAACCTGTGATATTCTCTCGGGTCTAGACTGCTAGCAGGCAGCCCTGTATGAACTGTTTCCTCTCTATAGATGTTCCAGCCCAGCTGAGAGGAATGGCAGAGAGACCAAGCCTGGACTCAACACACCTTCCAGGTAGGTTTACAAGAGTAATGTGAGCATCCTAAATGGCACCCTATTCCCTATATAGGGATTATGCTGCCATTTGGGACGGAGTCATAATTTGCTTGTTGTACACAAAGGTATTTTCACACTTTGATACAGAAGTTTGTTCAAAAATAATGTTTTTTTGTTTGTTTTTTAGGGGCTATGCTGCAGATGGGAGGACGTTCTCCTTCTGAGAACAGACGGAAGGATGTATTTGTTAAGTGATATTTTATGAATTTGGTTGGTACATATGAACATTTTTTGTTTAACTTTATTTATTTTTACAATATTCGGCAGCCCCTTATAATAAAATGGTAAGCATGGAGTGGTTTGTATGTTTTTATTTCTCACGAGATATACAGTGGGCTATTAGTAGCTTAGTGCCTTCAGAAAGTATTGACTTTTTCCACATTTTGTTGTTACAGCCTGAATTTAAAATGGATTGAATTTAGATTTTATTTTGTCACTGGCCTACACACAATGCCCCATAATGTCAAAGTTATGGCAAGCCTATATAAGTTCAGGAGTAAATTAGCTTAACAAGTCACACAATACTGTATGTTGCATGGACTCACTCTGTATGCAATAATAGTGTTTAACGTGATTTTTGAATGACTACCTCATCTCTGTACCCCACACATACAATTATCTGTAAGGTCGACCAGTGAATTTCAAACACCGATTCAACCACAAAGACCAGGGAGGTTTTCAAATGCCTCGCAGAGAAGGGCACCTATTGGTAGATTGGTAAAAATAAATAAAAAAGCAGACATTGAATATCCCTTTGAGCATGGTGAAGTTATGAAATGCACATTGGACGGTGTATCAATACACCCAGTCACTACAAAGATACAGGTGTCCTTCCTAACTCAGTTGCCGAAGAGGAAGGAAACCGCTCAGGGATTTGACCATGAGGCCAATGGTGACTTTAAAAACAATTAGTTTAATGGCTGTGATAGAACTGAGGATGGATCAACAACATTGTAGTTACTCCACAATACTAACCTAATTGACAAAGTGAAAAGAAGGATGCCTGTACAGAATAAATATATTCCAAAACATGCATCCTGTTTGCAATAAGGCACTAAATTAATAAATTAATAATTGGCAAAGCAATTAACTTTTTGTCCTGAATACAAAGTGTTATGTTTGGGGCAAATCCAACACATTACTGAGTACCACTTTCCACATTTTCGAGCATCGTGGTGGCTGAATCATGTTATGGGTATGCTTGTAATTGTTAAGGACTGGGAAGTTTTTCAGGTAAAAAAAATAAACAGAATGGCGCTAAGCACAAGCAAAATCCTAGAGGAAAACCTGGTTCAGTGTGCTTTCCACCAGACACTGGGAGATGAATTCACCTTTCATCAGGACAATAACCTACCAAGAAGACAGTGAATGTGGCTGAATTACAGTTTTGACTTAAATTTGCTTAAATCCATGGCAAGAACTGAAAATGGTTGTCTAGTAAACATCAACAACCAATTTGAGAGCTTGAAGAATTTTGAAAATCAATCCAGGTGTGCAAAGCTCTTGGAGACTTACCCCGAAAGACTCACAGCTGTAATCGCTAACAAAGGTGCTTCTACAACGTATTGACTCTGGTGTGAATATTTATGTAAATTAATATATTTCTGTATTTCATTTTCAATACATTTGCTAAAATTTCTAAAAACATGTTTTCACTTTGTCATTATAGGGTATTGTGTGTAGATGGGTGAGAACAAAATCAATTTAATCCATTTTGAATTCAGGCTGTAACAAAAAAAATCTGGACTAAGTTTAGGGGAATGAATACCTGAATGCACTGTAGGTCAATGCAAAACATTACATGTCTTTTTTTACATTTTAGTCATTTAGCAGACGCCCTTATCCAGAGCGACTTACAGTTAGTGAGTGCATAAATTTTCGTACTGGCCCCCCGTGGGAATCGAACCCACAACCCTGGCGTTGCAAGCGCCATGCTCTACCAACTGAGCTACATGGGACATGTATACCATTACCTACCTAACAAACCCTCCAACAATGTTAAATAAATGCACGTTTAAATGTAATTTGACTAACATTTAATCATACTTTAATATTGCCATGCCTGTGAAGGGTAATGTGGCTTTGTTTGTTGTGCATTTTGTTTCCTTAGTCCTTATTCTGAGCACAAGGTGGCGCCAGTTTGATGTTATTACAGCTTCAATGTTTTTGCAATATTACAATTCCAGGCTGCCATAGGAGAAAAATAAAAACACCATGCTGGTCTGCACCACATTTGCATTACATTCCAAGGTGAAAATTAAATTTAAAAAAAACAATGTGCCTAAGTGCTATTCAATCTTATAGAAAAATTTATTGCTGTAGAATTTTGGGAGTGCATGCGGTGTCGGAATCGTGCAGAACACCCATACAGAGGTCAGGGTGTTGGAGTGTGGGCAGGCAGGCGTGGCAATGGGCTGGTCCAGGCGCGCTCAACGATGAAAAACAGCGGGGATTTACAGCAGGCGGCCGCGGTATAGGCAGACATAACGGAATAACCTAGGGCTATAAACATTAGCGTTGCATTTTAATTATAGCAGATTGTGTTGTTTGGGATTTAACTCCTAAGGCAGAGGGTGTGACGCGCATCCACAAAGGAAAAGCCGCGGAGAATGCACTGAGGTAAGAACAGAACATAACCCGCTACCTGAAGTTTTTTTTACTTTGATGTAAATTCGTTTTTTGTAATTTAACCTATCTACATATTCGTGACCATCCATTGGGCGATACACCATTGAAATGGAGTCCATTGATATTTTGCTAGTAGTGCCATAACAATGACCAGTATCAGATAAATAGAAAATAAAATAGTCTCCAACCGAAAATTTATAACATTTATAATTCCCTATAATAAACTAATTCTAAGAGTTAGCTGCTTCATCGTTTCCTCACAACTTTGCAGCCTGTGGTCTATACATTTTTATTGGTTTGTTAATCATCACCAGCAATCTGTTCTGCAGCAACAAACATGGAGGCAGCCTTATGGTTTATAGGCATTAGTCATCAGAATTCTATCATATGTATGTATTTCGATGGAAGAAATACGTTTCCCTTGGCACTATACGAATTACATGGTTATGTTTGCATTTGCTGATCAGCGCGGCACGGTGCTCTTATTTTCAAACGTAAAATCGCATAACGGGAATTAGATTATGTCACGAGGAGGACCGTTTTGCATGGATGCATTCTTTATTTTTTATCTTTGGTGATTGGTCACTCGCTTTTTATTATGCAGATTGGGGTTTGTGTAGGCAGGCTATAATGGATTCGTGATGAACATAAGTGGCACCGTCCGCCTCACAGGCACCGTCTGTGTACCACCATAACAGGCTCCTGCTCTATATCTCGGCATATTGCGTGTGCATGGCCATTAGTTTAGATCTGCCTGCCAGGCTAGGTCGAAACTGTACAGGTTAAGACAACGTCGACCGTCACAAATCTGGGACCAGCGCTGTTGCTAACTAGCATAGCTGGTCACATTGTTGTAAAGAGTTATCGGATATTAGAATACCGTTGTCTTAATCTTTGTCATCTTCAACCAAGCTGCCAGGCAGGGCTGAAAAATCAGTCGCGCAGTAGGTGCTGCCTTGGTGCTGATGTTGCAGCGCTGCTCGTCTGGTTGCTAGGCAGCCATTCAGGGGCCATGGGGCGGCGGCACCATGAGGGATGCTGTCATGAAGGAACGGGACAAAATAGGAAGGCTAGGCCTATTTTTTTCAGGAGATATTTGAATCGTAATTTACCATCCCAACAGCATTGTTTTGATTGGATGATAAGTCGTGTTGAATAGAAGCTTTAGTCATCCTAACAAAGTGGCTTCATGCATGTTTATGTTCATCAAGCATATCTTATAATTAGCTATTACTTGAATCAGCTATTATCGTCACATCATCGTTAGGGTAACTTGGGAGAAAACGCCACCTTTAAGGGAAATGTCTATTTACTGACAGAAAAAAGCCAAGTTTGGTAAGATATAGATATGTGCATACTGGCTATCATTGGGCAAACACATTTTGAAGGAAAATATATTTTTTGTTATTCAATAATAATTGAAACTTTAGAAAGAGGGCGTTTAGCAACTAGATGGAATCTGTTCAATTGTACAGGCACATACAGAGAAACTACACGCAAGGTAAGTGTCACGATCGTTACATGAAGCGGACCAAGGCGCAGCGTGATAAGCGTACATCTTTTATTGAAGTACACCACACGAACAAAACAACAAACGAAACGTGAAGTCCTAGGTTAACACAAACCTTCCGGAACAAGATCCCACAAAATAACCGTGCCAAACAGGCTGCCTAAGTATGGTCCCCAATCAGAGACAACAAGCTACAGCTGCCTCTGATTGGGAACCACCCTGGCCAACATAGATATACATGAACTAGAACACAAACCTAGAAAACTAAACAATAGAAAATCCACACCCTGGCTCAACATTTAATAGTCCCCAGAGCCAGGGCGTGACAGTAAGATGTGGAATATATTTTATGTTCCAGATACTGATATTTATCATAAACATTATCTGTATGAAGTTAGTCATAAAATCAATAATGTATAGAGACCTAATGGTTGAAGAGGAAGTGAGAGGGATGCTGGAGAGGAGGAGAGGGGAGACATTGCTGTCTGGAGAGTTGCACTATCTCCATTGACCAAATCCAGGAAAGTGCTTAAGGCAGACACACTGGCCGGCCCTGTCCTTGGTTCAACTCCAGCTTTATTTGTGTCTTCATGTCTTTTTAAACTGTATTTTATCTAGGCTCCTTGTTCTCTTTGAAAATGTCATGATGAAAATGCATTCTCAAGATCACAGTTTCTCAGTGGAACTTTCAAGCTGCTTATCTATTTCTCATAAATGTTTCTATTGTTGTGAAGATTGCAATTTCGTATTTCATTCCAGTTAACTTCCTTCATACAATGTGTTGTTCTCACCTAGATAATGCATGACAGCCAGTGGATCAGAAGTCTGCCCACTCATTTATTGTGTTCAGTTTATTGACGTCATTGTCGATAACTATAAATGAAAACCATAGCATCCTTTCAGAATAGCCTTTCTCCAATCCTGGGCCATGTTTCGCGTGTCTAGATGGTGATGGTTGGACAGATTCTATCCAATGAAAGGTTATTGAATGCAGCTTATACAGCAGAACATGAAACCATTTCACCCTGGTCACGATCATGTTACATAATATATTATC